GCTTCATCTTTAGCTTAGTTTCAGTCCATCTGAAGTTTGGGCCTGAATCAGACGTTAATGACAACATCATTGCACAATTGTGACAAACTTATACTCACTTATACCTCGAATACAGAAGGAAACATGAGTTATCATCTCGTTAATATAGAAGCTAAAGATCTGTAGTTAATACCTTGATTCAGGAGGAGTTTGTGGGCTGACCAAAGTGTGAAGTTTTTCAAAATAATGTCAAAATGTTGAGGATTAAATAAAACGTTCAGAATAGTGTGAACATTTTGGAATTTTTTAAAAAAAATGTCCAGAATAAAGTCGTAACGTTGGGATATTGAATCTATATGATGTATGTTCCCTTCCTCCTGATGGATGGGGGTCCATAATGAAAACCAGAGTGACATTATGCAATCATTTCATGACACTTGTTTAAAGATCTAGCGTGGGCCAGAGAAGAAGCCTTGACGTTGTTATTGTTGTTGTTGTTTATTCCAAATGGCACTTTATTTTGTATTATTAATTCACCAGTATTTCTATCATATATTTTTTGTCGATTTTTGTTTGAGTGCTTAGCATGTTAGATCATCCAAAGGAGTCTCATAGCCTTCTATAGAAACGGTCATGTATCGTCATCATATTCATTTCCCTGCATCAGCACTGCACTATGATTCATATTTGTAAGCAATGTTTGTGAGTTTCAAAGATTATTCTGGATTTTTCACTTCATAATTTCAGGTGAATTTCAGACTGTGACTTCTATTAGGAACTTGTTTTGTTAAGGTGTGTTTCAATTGTATTTAGATGCACAACACTGATATCCACACACCTTTAATTACCGGCATTTTAAAACATTATCACCTTGAATTGAGTTGTTGTTGTGGGGGGGGTCAGAGTCCTGTATTTAAAGACCTGTCAATCACTTTTGGAGTAATCCTGTGAGTGGAGGCTTTGAATATTTCCTCCAACACTTAGAGCATCAGCTCGTGACCATCTGTCACTCAGAGGATAGTGGAGGGTAGCTTCGTGCAGATGTGAGCTCTGCAGCGCCCTCTGCTGGAATATGTCGATACTGCAGGTATACTTTATATAGAAATATTAAAATCTATAATGTACATTTTAATGTGTGTGGGTGGTGATGCAGATGGGAGGCAGGACGTTTAATAGTCTCTCAATTACATTTAACGAATCATGTTTCATTGTACAGGTATAAACTGACAGTATTTACACTTTGTGGCTTATTATGAAATATTAGGCCTTGTATGAAGTATTTCTGCTCATTTTGGATATAATTTGTCTCTTAATAAGTTTAACATTCATACATATATGAAAAGTAATAAAATAAAATAATTTAAAAAAAGATTATTATCAACATTATTTGGTTTTAAATGTTTTTTAATATTGTTTTGAGCTAATAATAAAAAAAAAGCAATTAGTCACAAGGTGAAAACATCACAATGGATGATAATTAACTCAAATTTAAAATGTAATTTATTTCACAATATCACCATTAATTCTTATTTTATACTAATTTGCCCCAATTTAATCGTACTATTATATTTATACAGATTTAAATATATCAAGATTGTAAAATTCTCCTTTTTGTATTACCGTTTTCTGCTTTGATTTAAGAAATATTCCTCCTTTCCACCTTTTTGTAACTTGTATTGCTTTCAAAATATAAATAAATACAAATAAAAAATGTGAAACTTCAAATTGGCTTTCCTGATTTGTTTATTGTTTTTATACATATTTATTCAATGACTTAAAACACATTTATTCCATTAAAATCATGTATTATTATCTTTTAAAATGTATTATTCTGTCATAGGGCCTAAACATCAGATTAGGCCCCAACCATATTTCATTTTCTCTTAATCTTTTGATGTAATTCCCTTTTGTAACCCATCACTCCTTGCTGCCAGAAAAACATTGCATTTAATTAAAAAAAATGTATAGCAATTTATTATATTAAAAAACAGACTTTGTAATAAAATAAAAACTCAAATAGACCCTCTATAAAGTAAACCCTCCCCCCCTGATTTAAATCCTTAATATCTGCTGTCAGTATTTACCCTCGCACATGTGTTTTTGAGAGCTGCAGTTTATTACCCCGCTGTTACTGCTCTGTTAGAGGTAATTGAACACTAATTACCGTGAAGCTGTAAAAACCCCGCCCTCTTCTCGCTGATTGGTCAGAACCCAGCACGCGTCACTGCTCTGACCCCGCCCCCTCGGGTTGTCCCAGGTATAAAAGTCTCCAGGTCAACAGCTGAGAGGACAGAAGAGAGTGTGAAGGACTCTACATTCCCCTCCAAAAACAAAAAGACTCAGACACTTTCTGGATTTTCCTTCTTCTTCTTCAAAGTCAACTTTATTGTCAATCTTCCAGTTTTGTGTTCTTCTCCTCCTTCTCCTTCTTCTTCGGTGGTGTTTTAGATTTTTTCTGTGTGATCATGGAGCTGTCGGATATCTCTTTCCCCATCCCTGCCGCAGATGATTTCTACGACGACCCGTGCTTCAACACCACTGACATGCACTTCTTCGAGGACCTGGACCCGCGCCTGGTGCACGCGGGCCTCCTGAAGCCGGACTCTTCTTCCTCGTGCCCCTCTCCCTCACCGTCATCCTCCTCCTCTTCCTCCTCCCTGCACCACCACCAGGATGAGCACGTGCGGGCCCCCAGCGGACACCACCACGCGGGCCGCTGCCTCCTCTGGGCGTGCAAAGCGTGCAAGAGGAAAACCACGGGCGCGGACAGGAGGAAGGCGGCCACCATGCGCGAGAGGCGGCGGTTGGGGAAGGTGAATGACGCGTTTGAGAACCTGAAGAGATGCACATCTGCCAATCCGAACCAGAGGCTGCCCAAAGTGGAGATCCTGCGCAACGCCATCAGCTACATCGAGTCTCTCCAGGCGCTGCTGCGCGGAGCAGGGGGGGGCGGGCCGGAGGAGAGCTTCTACCCGGGGATGGAGCACTACAGCGGGGACTCGGACGCCTCCAGCCCCCGGTCCAACTGCTCCGACGGCATGGTGAGTGTCAGGGAGCCAGACAGCTGTCAAACAGGCAGCAGGGGAGGGGGGAGAGGGGGGTTTGAGTGTGTTTATCCACTGCGTCTTTACGCACGGAAAAGTTAGTTTAGGTTATGTGTTTGTTTTATTCGTTTTTGTAATTCCTAAAAACACGTGTGCAATAGTTTATATATGATATAGTATCCACTTATCTTTACTTTGGTTTCTCTTTTAGTTTGACTCGTTTTCTTGTTTTGTTTTGGTGCTTTTGTTGGCTCCCTTTGGACCTGAGTTGATCCACTGCGTCTTTACGGACAAGTTAGATTTTTGTTTAGTTTTAAATCTGACTTTTCCTTATTCTATTTTATATGTTGTCAAACATGCAGCAGAGTGCGGGGAGAGGGGGGATTGAGTGTTCTTATGAGCTGTCCAAGGTGTATCCACTGCGTCTTTACGCACGGAATAGTTTTTGGTTATTTTGTTGTGTTTTATTCGTTCTTTTATTTGAGACAATAATTTATCCTTACTTTGGTTTTCGTTTTTAGTTTGAAACGCTTTACTGGTTATTGTTATTGTCGTTTCTCTGTAAACTCTCTTCCTCTCCGCTGATCTGTTTTTATTCTGCGGGAAACAGAAGCTTCGAACCCCGCTTAGGTCTTCTCTAAAGGACCGGGGGAGATCTGGGGAAACTCTGTCGTAGTTTTAGTTTCATTCGTTTATTTATTTATTTTCAATAAGATTTCGTTAATTTAATTTGATTTAATTATTTTAGCCCTTGAGTTTTTACACATCCTATTAAATGTGTGTTATTATTATCGATTTGATTCAAGTGGATGTCTTTTAGCTGGGCCCACTTCGTTTAATCCCAGGTTGTCTTTTTATCTGTAAATTAAGTGACATTAAAAAAAGACAAAAACATGGATTTTAATAGTGAATACAATGTTTTCGTTTTGATTCAGAAAAGCATCATTTTTCTGAACTAGATTTGTTTCAAACATTTATTTTTGTGTGGAAACTAAAGCTTTATACATGTCGTTAGATCCCTTACTCTGTCCTAAACGCAGAGATGATTCACTCGCGATTTGAATGAGGATTTAATATAGTGTTCATTACATTTTGAATTTCGTTCATTTTTTACGATAATTTGATTTGATTTCCATGAAAATCGTTCGTAAACATTTTATTGAAAAATGATTGCTAGTGAAATGATAATATGTGGGTGGTCCTTAGTGCCATGTACATTTTTGAATTCATTTATTTTAAGCTCCAACCACCGGAACTCGTTATGATAGTCATTAAAACTCTCCTGGTGAATGTTATTCAAATTCCAACAACATTTGCCCCCCCCTCGTCAACCTCGAAGTGGAGCCTCACGTCCTGCACTATATGTAGGTCCTTCAAAATGAAAGTGGGAAAGTCTAAGCCCCAACCCCCAGAATTCATTCTATTGGTCAAGACAACTCTCCTGGTGAATTTGTTCCTCAATCTGACAACAACATGTACCCCCCCCCCCCCCCCCCCCCTCATCGAACTGGGCTGTTGGGCCGGTTTAGTAATGCATTGTGATTTTATTAAAAGTATAAATCCGTCTTTTTCTCACTTTAACTTTTGTGTTTATGCTTATTTTGCTTATTTGAACTCATTGTCTGTCTTTGGGCCAATCTGTGTAAACGGACCACAGGCCTGAGATCAGCACGTCCTGTGGTTTATTGTAAATAATGCAGACATGTAACTGAAACTCCTGTCTTGTTCCTTTGCCTCTGCAGACGGATTTCACCGGACCCAGCTGTCAGAAAAACAGAAGAGGAAATTATGAAAGCTCGTATTTCTCAGAGAAACAAAACGGTAAGAAACCCCCAAAAATAAATGTATAATCAAATGTAATATATTTAATATAATAGCAGATTAAAGGCCAGTTATTCTGCCACTTAAAAGACGTAGTGATAAATAAACATTAAATATCTTCAAATTAATTAATTTGTTAACGTCAAAAAGTGTGTTTTGTTTGATTTGTAAAGCTATACACATAGTTGATAAAAACATATAAATAATACAACTAAAAACATCAGGTTTGACTGTTATATTCTGAGCAGGAAAATACAGATAAATTATACTTCATAGAGAAAATATATGTTCATTTAATCAACTATGTATTATATTATTATTTAACAGTAAAAGCAAAGGGAAGTTGATGTTTCTTAATGTCTTAGATTTTAGTAAAGCACGTTGAATTGTGTTGAAAGGTGCTAAATAAACTTTCCTTGCTTTGCCTTGAAAATTAAAGATTTATTCAGAATTTATATTTTTTAGATTTGTAACGTTGTCTTGTGTTTTGTTTTGCAGGTTCTCTGAAGAATCGCAGCTCTGTTGTCTCCAGCCTCGACTGCCTGTCCAGCATCGTGGAGCGGATCTCAACCGACACCCCCTCTGCCCCCGAACCAGAGCAGAACCAGAACCAGACCCAGAACCATACCCAGACCCAGAACCAGACCCAGAACCAAACCCAGAACCAGACCCAGAACCAGAACCAGATCCGGAACCAGAACCAGAACCCAATCCAGAACCAGAACCCAATCCAGAACCCCATCCAGACCCCCATCCAGACCCCCATCCAGGACCCAAACCTAATCTACCAAGTCCTATAAACCCCCACTATCTCTACCTTTTCATTGAGTTGAGCTGAGTTTTCACCTCTTTGCACCAGATTCCTTCCAAAAAAACAAAAATATGGAAGCTCATTCGTGCCAAGAAAAAAAAGAGAATTCTGGGGAAATCATTTTTGAGTTCATAAAAAACAACTTAAGGCCCATTTACTTATTTACCAAAAAGTATTTGTCGCTATTGGTGGAGTTTCTTATTTTATATCAGATGTTATAGATTTTATAATTACCGAGCAAACTCCACGTGCAGAAGACGATTTTGCAATGAAAATATTTTTTGTATTTTTAAGTCTTAATCAAACAGCTTTTAAATAAGTATTACAAATATTAGTTACAACAAAAAAATATCGATAATTATTTCAAGATAAAGTCGTGTAATCTAATTTTGACTCATATTTTGAACATTTTAAGAATATATTTTGTTGACCTGTAAAAACATTTTTTGAAAGAGGATTCAAAGTGGATTTTCTCATTCCCAAGTTTCCATACGCCATATTTATTTTCCTGGCATTAATTATCTTCTATATTTAACTATATTTAACCCCTGAAATTCTCTTTCCTGCTGTAAAAAAAAGTGCATTTTAGATGTAAAAACCACTATGAATGCTGGGAAATGTCGTTTTTAAACACAGGTTTAGTGATGAATACAACTCGGTTCATTTCTTGCAGTATTTCAATTTTATTTTAAGTTATGAGAAATTATTTTAAAGGCTGATTTAGAGTCAGTCGTCCAGATGGATTTTTTTTCTTCCTCTCTGTGCAAAAAGTCTATTTGATGAAGGACGGAGGCCAAACAAAAAAAACATCCATTTACATTCCTCCACTTTCGTCCATCTGAAGTCGTAAAAAAAGCCCCAGCTGTTTGATTCCCTCGGGAGGAAAAGCAACTGCAATAACATCCAGTGATGTTTTAAAGATATGTCATTCAACACTGCAGATTTCTGTAGATAAACTGCAGTAAGTAACAACAACAAAGTGTGGGAGTCTGTCTGCTTCCTGTTCAATTTGAAAACAATTATTATTATCATTTGATGTTTTCACTGCAGCGGAGGACCACTTTTCTTTTTCTGTACATACGATGTAAATAAGAGCTGATTTGTTCCAATGAAAGTGTTAATTATGTATTTAATGTTTCCGTCTGTACGTGCTTTTGTTTGTTTGTTGTGAAAATGTTAAACTTTATATTTATACATCTGAAAACTGAGTGACAGTCTTATGACTAATAAATGAAAACGAATATTTATACAAAAAAACTCGACTCTGCTTTTTAATTTCTGTAAATCATTGTCATTTTATGATGAACTTTTGGATATTTAGGCTTCAGGATTATTTAGATTTGAATGTATTTTATTGAGAGATGAGAACGTTATTTAATGGTACAAAGAATATATATAATATGTCCTTAAATATACGTTAATTTAGATGTACATAAGATATTAGAACTTTCCGCTTTTAAATATTTTAATTACATTTAGCTGTTTGATTATTATATGATGAGCTATTTAGTATTTTTTAATAATTTTACAATTTTATTTTCACTTTTAGAGAAATTAAATTATATTTTGTGGAAAAGCTCAAAACGAATCATATAATATTATTCAAGATATTTATCATCTTGGATTTTTCACCTGAAAACATAGGTACCAGTCTGGTAGTAAAATATACCATTCAACCTTTAAACCTGCAGCGCCATCGTGTGGTCACAGAGAAGAACTGCAACTACAGAGGCTTTGGTGTTTTAGAGATTACCAATAAATAACTCATTTCTTAAAGAGTCCTCTCCTGCTGATGTTCAGGTGTATATCAGTATGTAGTGTCTATACTTTAAAGAGTCCTCTCCTGCTGATGTTCAGGTGTATATCAGTATGTAGTGTCTCTACTTTAAAGAGTCCTCTCCTGCTGATGTTCAGGTGTATATCAGTATGTAGTGTCTCTACTTTTAAAGAGTGCTCTCCTGCTGATGTTCAGGTGTATATCAGTATGTAGTGTCTCTACTTTAAAGAGTCCTCTCCTGCTGATGTTTCAGGTGTATATCAGTATGTAGTGTCTCTACTTTAAAGAGTTCCTCTCCTGCTGATGTTCAGGTGTATATCAGTATGTAGTGTCTCTACTTTAAAGAGTCCTCTCCTGCTGAGTAGGTGTATATCAGTATGTAGTGTCTCTACTTTAAAGAGTGCTCTCCTGCTGATGTTCAGGTGTATATCAGTATGTAGTGTCTCTACTTTAAAGATTCCATCTCCTGCTGATGTTCAGGGTGTATATCAGTATGTAGTGTCTCTACTTTAAAGAGTCCTCTCCTGCTGATGTTCAGGTGTATATCAGTATGTAGTGTCTCTTACTTTAAAGAGTCCTCTCCTGCTGATGTTCAGGTGTATATCAGTATGTAGTGTCTCTACTTTAAAGAGTCCTCTCCTGCTGATGTTCAGGTGTATATCAGTATGTAGTGTCTCTACTTTAAAGAGTCCTCTCCTGGCTGATGTTTCAGGTGTATATCAGTATGTAGTCTCTCTACTTTAAAGAGTCCTCTCCTGCTGATGTTCAGGTGTATATCAGTATGTAGTGTCTCTACTTTAAGAGTCCTCTCCTGCTGATGTTCAGGTGTATATCAGTATGTAGTGTCTCTACTTTAAAGAGTCCTCTCCTGCTGATGTTCAGGTGTATATCAGTATGTAGTGTCTCTACTTTTAAAAGAGTCCTCTCCTGCTGATGTTCAGGTGTATATCAGTATGTAGTGTCTCTACTTTAAAGAGTCCTCTCCTGATGATGTTCAGGTGTATATCATCAGTATGTAGTGTCTCTACTTTAAAGAGTCCTCTCCTGCTGATGTTCAGGTGTATATCAGTATGTAGTGTCTCTACTTTAAAGAGTCCTCTCCTGCTGATGTTCAGGTGTATATCAGTATGTAGTGTCTCTACTTTAAAGAGTCCTCTCCTGATGATGTTCAGGTGTATATCATCAGTATGTAGTGTCTCTACTTTAAAGAGTCCTCTCCTGCTGATGTTCAGGTGTATATCAGTATGTAGTGTCTCTACTTTAAAGAGTCCTCTCCTGCTGATGTTTCAGGTGTGTATATCAGTATGTAGTGTCTCTACTTTTAAAGAGTCCTCTCCTGCTGATTTTCAGGTGTATATCAGTATGTAGTGTCTCTACTTTAAAGAGTCCTCTCCTGCTGATGTTCAGGTTGTATATCAGTATGTAGTGTCTCTACTTAAAGAGTCCTCTCCTGAATGATGTTCAGCGTGTATATCAGTATGTAGTGTCTCTAATTTAAAGAGTCCTCTCCTGCTGATGTTCAGGTGTATATCAGTATGTAGTGTCTCTACTTTAAAGAGGTCTCTCTGCTGATGTTCAGGTGTATCTCAGTATGTAGTGTCTCTACTTTAAAGAGTCCTCTCCTGCTGATGTTCAGGTGTATATCAGTATGTAGTGTCTCTACTTAAAGAGTTCTCTCCTGCTGATGTTCGGTGTGGTGTATATTCCAGTATGTAGTGTCCTGTCTACTTTGTAAAGAGTCCTCTCCTGCTGATGTCAGGTGTATTATTCAGTATGTAGTGTTCCTACTTTAAAAGAGTCCTCTCCTGCTGATGTTCAGGTTGTATATCAGTATGTAGTGTCTCTACTTTAAAGAGTCCTCTCCTGCTGATGTTCAGGTGTATATCAGTATGTAGTTGTCTCTACTTTAAAGACGTCCTCTCCTGCTGATGTTCAGGTGTATATCAGTATGTAGTGTCTCTACTTTAAAGAGTCCTCTCCTGCTGATGTTCAGGTGTATATCAGTATGTAGTGTCTCTACTTAAAGAGTCCTCTCCTGCTGATGTTTCAGGGTTGTATATCAGTATGTAGTGTTCTCTACTTTAAGTCCTCTCCTGCTGATGTTCAGGTGTATATCAGTATGTATTGTCTCTACTTTAAAGAGTCCTCTCCTGCTGATGTTCAGGTGTATATCAGTATGTAGTGTCTCTACTTTAAAGAGTCCTCTCCTGCTGATGTTCAGGTGCATATCAGTATGTAGTGTCTCTACTTTAAAGAGTCCTCTCCTGCTGATGTTCAGGTATATATCAGTATGTATAGTGTCTCTACTTTAAAGAGTCCTCTCCTGCTGATGTTCAGGTGTATATCAGTATGTAGTGTCTCTACATGCTTAATGTTCAAAAAGCTCTTTATTGTTCTCATACTGCCTGTGCTGCAGCACCTCTTTTCACCCTCTGTCTGAAACCAGAGCCCAGTCTGCTGGTCCCACTGCAGGAACGGGAAAACCCCCAACAAACACAACAGGGCCTCTTTAAAAAAAAAAACACCTTTCTGTTGGTTTTCTATTCCAATCCTTAAAGCGGTATACATCTGCACCACTTGGTATTTAGACTGAAAGGTCTCCCCTGAATGTGTTGTTGCTTCGAAACTCAAATTGAAAAACAACCAACTTTTTCAACCCATAAGGTCTGCCGAGGGGAAAGGGACACTCGAGTTGAAATCATAGTGGAAAACAAAGACATTTAGTTGGATTTCCTTCATTTTTTAACCATAAACCAGCATTTATCTGGACATATGTTGAGTAAGTTTGATGGATAAGTGTCCCCCGAGTGAAATGCATTAAATATAAACCTTAAAACAGCCCCATGTTTCTAAAAACCCTTCACTTTCTAAACCAAATCCCAATTTAAATCATCTTGGATACCAAACTGATGTGAAAGCAGCTCAATGTTCAGAGGTTTCTGTCACACACACACACACACACACACACACACACACACACACACACACACACACACACACACACACACACACACACACACACACACACACACACACACACACACACACACACACACACACACACACACACACACACACATGCTTCCTGTCCTGCCAATCAGGGCGGAGTAATCACGGTGAGGAATCACATTGGATTCAAGCAAATTATAATTGTGACGGCTTATTGAATGCATTTTCTAACCAATAAATGATGTCTCTTGTGACCTTTTTGTTGTTGTTGTAGAAAAACGATTTGATTAGAGCTAAACAAATATATTTTTCCAAAACACCTACGTCTTTCTCAGGGACCCTAATGCAATATTAATACATTTTAAACCCGGAAATTGTATAATTTACAAAATTAGGCCTACAGCGGATTAGCAATTTAGTCCGTTTTTAGGCAGAATTAACCAGATTGTTTTAAACCGAGTTCTTGGGAAAACAAGACTTATAAGAAATATTATGAAACCCAACACAATGTACACAGTTCAGTTTAGTTATGCTAAGTTTGCTATGTTAGCTAGTTAGCCTAACAGACTTTCCATTATCAATCTAGCCATGTAATTAGTATTGAGCTAAATAAGATTATACATACATCATATTGTTGTGTCAATGCGTATTTACCTGTATATGGAAGGATAATAAAATAATTTTCCTGTTCATTTTCTACTCAAAGGTTTCTACGTAGCTAGCAAAGCTTTCTATGTTATCTAGTTAGCTTAGATTTTGGCCTGAACACTTTCTGGGGTGTTAATGTATTTGATTTATTCATTGCTTATATCTTTCTCAACAATTTCAATGTTCCTACCCTGAGCATTACCCATGACCATGTGCTCTGTAATTGTTGACACAGATTGTAGTTCAAAACAGACTTTAACTGTTAATCTTCTCAAGTATGAAAAACGCTGCCTTAGCTTTAGTAATGCTAAGTTTTATATGTTAGCTAGTTAGCCTAACTTACCATGATCACACTAGCCCTATTATTACTATTAAGCTAAATGAGATAGTAAAATAATTATATTGTTGTGTCAATGCTTATTTACATTCATGTCAAAGGATTCTAAAATAATTGTAATATTCATTTACTACATATGCAACGTTTTTTAAGTAAGCTAGCAGACTTAAAATGTTCCACGCTAGCTTGTTAGCCTAACAGACTTTAGATTTTCATTATATAAGTTATCTTGCTAAATTGTCAAAATGGCAGACGTAAAATGCTTGACTTTTTAGCCTGTTAACCTTTATGGCTAGATATTCAATCCTATACTGATATGTTTTATTAAACCCAACTATTAGATAAACACATTTCAGTTTAGTTATGCTAGGTTTTCTACGTTAGCTTGTTAGCCTACCCTACTTTCCATGATCCGACTAGCCATACTTCTATTGAGCTAAATAAGAATATACAAACATTATGTTGTTTTGTCAATGCTTATTTACATGTTTGTAAAAGGAAAATAATCTTCATGTTCATAGATATTCAAGCTAGCAGATTCAAAGT